GACAGAGTCTCAAGCTGTCACCCTAGGTAGAGTGCTGTGGCGTCACAGCTCACAACAACCTCCAACTCTTAGGCTCAAGCAATCCTCTTGCCACAGTTTTTCTATTTTTCTGCTAGTCTGTTTGCTCAGGCTGGTGTCAAACTCATGAGCTCGAGCAAACCTGCCTTAGCCTCCCAGAGTGCTAAGATTATAGGCGTGAGCCACTGTACCCGTCCTAGTTTTTCTATTTTTAGTAGAGAGAGGGTCTCACTCTTGCTCAGACTGGTCTTGAACTCCTGAGCTTAGGTAATCCACCCTCCATGGCCTCCCAGAGTGCTAGGATTACAGTCACTCACTGCACCAAAGTATTTTTTAACATGATAGCACAGAAAGAAACCAGGCATGGAAGGGACCAGCCTCATACAGGTCACAGGTGTAAGGAAGTTGGTGCTGAGAAATGCCTAGAGCGGGTAGAGGGAGGTTCCCCAGGATAGGGAGGTATGAAAAATATTGAACTAGAGGTGTGGGCTGAAGGTCATTCACAGCCCAGGCCTCATAAACCAGTGAGAAGGAACATCTCATGGATTCCCACCTGCTGTGTCCACTGGTAGAAGCAGGCCCGGAAGAGTCTGTGTGCCAAGAAGTGAGTGCCCTGCTGCTGCAGGAGCTGGAGAGAGAGCATGGGGAGCTGAGTTCTGACTGCTGTCGATGACCCATCCCTGAAACCAGGGTGAGTGAGTGTCTAGCTGAGGCTGCTGAGGACAGCTACAAGGCAGGGCTCCGGCCTAAGTGGACGGTCCTCCCAATGCCAGGAAAAATCCTGGGTGATGCCCAGGGCCTCCTGCACAGGCAGGGGGTGTTGAAGTGACTGCAAAGGTCTCCTAGCTCTGACAAGCCATGGGTTAACAGGAACTCAATTTCTCTGCTAAGCTGTCTCCCCACTGGGCTGGCTGCCCCTGTCTCCATTGAAGACCCAGAAAGGCACCTGCTGCCTTGTTCTTAGAGCCTCCCCAAACCACTCCCCTAGCAGATGCCTTGAGTTCTGTCAGGAGAGACCCCTTCCTAAGACCCCCACTTGCCATACGGGGGAACTTGGTAAGTTGCCACCACCTGCCTCACCTTTTTCCTGACACACCCAAGATGGTGCGTCTTCCACTGGGCCATGCACTTCAGCAGTAGCCACTGCTGGTGATACTGGGCCACCCTCTCCAGCTGGACTCTCTGCTGGGCTGTCCTCTGGCTGCGGTCCCACCAGCAATGAAACCAGGTCCGGAGACAGCCTGTAGCAGATACAAGCCAGAGTCCTCTCTTTTATAGGTTATGTGAGGATAGAGTTAGGGTATCCAGCCTATACTCGGTAGCCATTCTCTTTCTCTCTCTCTCTCTCTCTTTTTTTTTTTTTTTGAAACAGAGTTTTATTATGTCACCCTCAGTAGAGTACTACGGCATCACAGCTCACAGCAACCTCAAACTCTTGGGCTTAAACAATTCTCTTGCTTTAGCCTCCCAAGTAGCTGGGACTACAGGTGCCCTCCACAAGGCCTGGCTATTTTTGTTGTTGTTGTTGCAGTTATCATTGTTATTTTACCTGGCCCGGGCTGGGTTTGAACCTGCCAGCCTCTGTGTATGTGGCTGGCACCCTACCTACTGAGCTATGGGTGCTGCTTTGGTGGCCATTCTCTAAGGACAGTTCTGTCCCTGCTGCCAGGAACCAGATCTGCTGTTTACTGTTATGGTGCTCCCCAAGGGCCCTCCCAAAGCCGCAAGCCCATCCACAGCCACCACAGGTGTGCTGCGGGACCCTGCAGAACCACATGCAAGATGATGCTGGGCACACGTAAAAAGACCCTTCTTTGAGGGAGAAAGGGGCCTCTCACTTGAGCAGAAGCTTGAAAGAGGAACAGGAGGGAGGAAGAAGTGGCGATGGCAGGTCTCTTTTACCAGGGCAGAAACCGAGGTTCCATTAGAGAAGTCAGACCAGCCTAAGCCTTGACTAGGGAGGTGCATGGTCTGCAGGGCCGCTCCGCCTGACTCCTGGGATATACCTGACTCCCAGGCTCCGCAGACAGGAGCTACATCCTGATTTTGCTTCTGTGTCCTCAGATTCTCCCTTTTGTGATTTTTCTTCCTTGGGCCTTGAGAAAAGTTTCTTTTTGAGATGACAAAAGAGGGTTGATACTGATGCCAAGATGGGGAGCCCTCCATGACCTGCCACAGCAGGCAGGGGAAGAGGCAGCAAGCACAAGCTGGAGGTCAACTGTGTCAGCACCATCTGTGGTATGTGGATGCTGCTTTCAGTGTGTGTATGTCTAGATGCACATCGCCTCAATGGATCCCCATGACCACCCCTATCATTACCCCATTTCAGAGATGAAGAAACAGATTCAGGGCCTTGCCTGATGTCCCCTGGCCGGATTATGGCCCCAGTTCGCACCTGTAAGCCCTTTCTCTTTCTTTTTTTTTTTTTTTTTTTGAGACAGAGTCTCACTATGTTACCCTTGGTAGAGTGCCGTGGCGTCATAGCTCATAGCAACCTTAGACTCTTGGGCTTAAATGATTCTTTTGCCTTAGTTTCCCAAGTAGCTGGGACTACAGGTGCCTACCACAACACCCAGCTATTTTTTGGTTGTAGTTGTCATTGTTGTTTGGCAGGCCCAGGCTGGATTCGAATCCACCAGCTCCAGTGTATGTGGCTGACACCTTAGCCACTGAGCTACAGGTGCTGAACCGAGTAAGCCCTTTCTTAACATGCATATGGCACCCTTCTGTGCCCTTTCCTTTCCTAGCACCCAGCTCCACCAAGACTCTGAGGCCTTAAGATAAGCCAAAAAATGATACCTGCTATGAGCACAGGGTCTTGCCACTCAGTTTCCCAAGTCCTTTGTACCAGCTATAATGGATGTGGCAATGCCAGAGCCTGCTACATGCTACCACCCCCTTGTAAGGAAAAGTCCTCTGCAGAGAAGCCATTTTAGGCTGCACCTTGAATTTGTCACCTCTAAGTTACACCCATGGCCAGGAGTGGGTACTTGAACTTTACAGTAGCTGCCTCCTAACTGGCCAGAAGCTTTTGCAGTGCCAGGTGCAGCAGCTCTGCCTACAGAGGCCATGAATGGGCTAAAGCCCTCAGCTTCTTTCTCCCAGGGATGAACTATAACCATGGAGCTGGTTTCTAAGCTGAGGGGCAGTTGAGGACCCAGCTGCCTGTGGTGGAGCAGCCAGGATGTCTGACCCCTGAGTGTTGTCCAGAGGATATCCTGATGATGTGTATTCATCAACACACATGCTAGATTCAGAAGTGAACCAAAGTTGACTGAACTTCATCCCAGAACAAACTATTATGCCACTTAACAAATGGATTTTCTCTGTAGTCTAACTGAAGCCTTTCTTAATCCACTGGTTTTTACTTTCATTGTATTTTCATTTATTCTAACTATGAGCAGTTCCCTGCATAGTGTCCGATTCCCGCCATGGGTCCCCAGCTGGGTTAGGAGCCCCCCGACCCCTGTGGGCCTCTCTGGTGTTTGCAGCTCAGGGTGTGGCTCTGGACTTCTGCTCTGGACTATCTTCCCAAGAATGTTTTATGCAGCAGGTGTGGGACTTCCTGAGGCTGACTGAGCAAGTGTCTACTCTCTGAGTATGCAGGACCCTGACCTGACAGGGGCTGGCCTGACAAGAAGCAAGGGTCTTCCCATCAAAAGCACCTCCTCCTCAATCACCCAGGTTCATTCCTTTCTCTACAGGCCTCCTCTACTCCAGGTTCATTCCTTTCTTTCTCCATAGATCTCAACCTTTGTCCTTTCATTTTAATATAAAGTGGTTGGCACTCAGTTGGAAACAAGCTTCTGCAATGCACTGGACTGAGTGGTGCCCTTCCCCCACCTCATTCATGTTCTTCCTGGAACCACAGAATGTGAACCTCACTTGGAAATAGGCTCAGTGTGGATGTAGCTAGTTAGGATGCTGCCATACCAGAGCAGGGTGCACCTTGATAAGAAGAGACCCAAGGACATACGCAGAGAATGCCATGCAAATATGGGAGCAGAGACTAGAGTGATGTGTCTATAATTCCAGGAAACCAACAAACACTCTGGACAGGCAAGGAAGGATCCTCCCCTAGAGACCCTGGCGGGAGCATAGCCTGGCCCACACCTCAGTTGTGTACTTCTGGCCTCCAGAACTGAGAGAGGATAGTTTTCTGTTTTTGAAGCCTCCCCCTCTCTGGTACTTTGTCATGGCAGCCCTGGGATCTGGCCCACATGAGAGAAGACAGAGACCACAGGGTAGAACAGGGATATTCAAGACAGCTGTGTCTTCACATAACCCTCCCTCAATCACTTCCTTCCGGGAGCTTTGCTTACCCCTGTCCAGGATCTTCCGGGCCTCCCTGACGGCACAGTCCTCCTGCTGTTGGTAATAAATCTGCACTGATGCATTCTCCTGCCACTGGACCAGGACCTACAGGCAGGCGGGAGCAGAGCAGGCGTTGGTCACTAAACCTCCTGATTTCTGGGACACCCCAGGCTTATGATGGCAGCTTCTTGTGAGGTAAGACTAACAGGTTGATTTTGGCTCTTGCACATTCTGACACCCATGCAGACCAAGGGGCAGTGGGGAACGTCCCCTTCCCCTCAAGAAGCCCAGTATCTCGACTCAGCACCTGTGGCTCAAGCGGCTAAGGCGCCAGCCACATATACCTAAGGTGGCGGGTTCGAATCCAGCCCAGGCCCGCCAAACAACAATAATGGCTGCAACCAAAAATAGCTGGGTGTTGTGGTGGGCGCCTGTGGTCCCAGCTACTTGGGAGGCTGAGGCAGGAGACT